TCCCAGCTGGAGACGACTCGAATATATACAAGTCAATAGATGAATAAACCATACTTTCGGCCACATGAATCGAGCTCTGTTGAGTTATTTTATAAGCAAGGTTGGTTTAGAGAACAATACATTTGTATCTAGACCCTATTTATTTACTGTTGAAGATGCAGATGGAGTCATGGCTAGAATGACATTGTAATTGCTCAGCTCACTTCCATTTTAAGTGAAAGTGTGGTTAGTGAAGAGATTCGAAAGTCGATATCTCCAGAAGACGATAACGGGCTCCTCTTGACCATCTGTTGATTGGCTCTACTAGAACATTCTTGTTGGCACATTTTCGAAACAATCGCCTTAGTTTCCGATGACAATGTGCTAAACTTTCGTGTGTCGTTATGTGGCGGACATCATTAGAGCAGGGAGAGTATCATCCTCGCAATTATATTCAATAAATCTCACCGGTATATCCATAAATACTGTTTATATATTCAACAATGATAGACCAAGATATTCCATGAAATCAAATTTTTTTTTAGAATGACATTGTAGCCAAGTCTGGCTGAAAGCAGACTCTTGATATATCCGATGTAAGTGCATCTCGGAAATATCAGCAATCTTTAAATAAGCTCATGAACGTTTTAAGTTGTTTAAAGTTATTTCCTAACATGAGATAAATAGACCACACGTTATCGTAAAACTTCACTACGTCTTGCCTTGCAAAAGATTTTCCTATCAAGGATGGCATAAAGTTTTTACCCTATCCAGGTCTAACCGGTACCTCCAGAGAGTTTCTTAATTATGCATATTTATTGATTTCGAAGCATAATCAGACCGAATATAAGCAACTTCGTAAGCAGGTTTTTGAGCTTATCAGGAGAACATATGGATGAGATGTATTCACTCTTTTTAGTTTAAGGTAATTTCATTTTCATACAATCATATGAGTAGACCTTACGCTTCTATTAAATTTCGTATAATCTTTCTTTCTTACAAGGTATTCTCATCCAGGCTTGAGTGGACTGCACTTTCGACCTCGTCTAAAGTGGTCTCACCAGCACCCCCAGTGGGACTCGATCCTGAGTTGTGGTAATACAGTGTATACTCTCGACCCATCATATACATCTCATATATCTTACCTACTGGAAGTCCCGAAAGCCTGCTTAGAAATGAAAGATAAGTATTATAGTTGACTGTTTCAGCATATATAACTTTGCTTCATAGACAATCACACCACAGAATGCGATATTGGAAAATACATTGTATTCCTTGAAATTAGTATCCGCTCTGTGACTAAAGGGCATTTGTGGCAGTGTGGCGTAGTGCTTATCATGTAGGAATTATATACGGTACTAAAAAAACTGGTTTAAGACCCGCTGGAGGTGCTGAGAAGATCAGTTCAGACGAGGTCCAAACTACAATCCATTCCAGCTGGGGTGAGAATACCTTTTGGTAACATAAAGCTATATGAAATAAAATGTATGCGTATCGTCCATTTATATGATTGTGAGAAAATTCGAATAACATTAGCTCATCACCTTAAACGAAATAGGGTGAATACATCTGAGTTACTGGTAGTCTCGAAAGCCTATTTATAAATAAAAAATACACAACGACAAACTGGCATTCGTGCCTTTTGGTCAAAGGGTAGATGTGAGTTTCAAGGTGGGATTTTCGGTGAAACAATATTATATTTGCTATAGCAATCGACAGCATTACTCATTTTTCCTTTATAAGTAGGTTTTCGGGACTATCAGTAGATCATATATATTGGGTGTATTCACCCTATTTCATCATACAACCATGGGTGTCCTCGGTTAACATTTCAGGCCTCTTATATTTGAAACTTTTTTATTTTTATTGTTTCGTTAAGGCGTGCTTGTGCTTGCCATTCGATTTGATGAGACTACTGTTATCTTATCAGTAGACCTATTAGTATAAATGCCAATTGAGAGCCTTGAAGGCCAAATATGCCCTACGACTCTCTGGGGCCTGAGCTATTTCGCCAATTGGTGCAGACGAGCAAGGTTCTAATCCCACCGGGGTATTGATGAAAGGATGAGGTGAGGTCGAATCTTGAGTGAAATTTAAAGACACAATAGGGTATACCCATTTTATTGTCGGAAGCTTATTTATCAGGCCTTACAGCACCATCGACAGCAATTCATTTCGAAACTATCAATATCTCTAAGAAAGAGTTTAACTCACAATATGATGAATGGCTGATAGATACATTTTTTCCACAATAATATTATTCTAGCCTAGCTAGCCCGTCTGAAATTGTCTCATCCACAACCCCATCGGGATCCGAACGTGAGCTGTATAGTAACTAAAACTCCTATTATGTAATATTCTACTCTAAAGTTCCGTAAGTTGACGACGGCATCTTTATGCTTTTATGACTTTGTGACTCGCTGTTCATGTACTTATTTCTGGTGGCTCTGGACATATCGGATTGACACACTTGGCAACTGTTTGGGTGTTTTTTGCTCTTCATAGTTTTTGTCTGTCTCTACTTAATCAAATATGCCCTAATCTCTTTTGATGTGTTCCGTCCAACGATCTGTATTTGACCAGCCTATCTAATCGGCCTGTATCCTATGACGTTCATCCTCTTCCTCTCAAACCATTGTTAGTTCACCCGATTACGTACACGATGCAACAGACGTGTGCACCACTGATCCACCATCATTCGACCCTCCTCGACACGACACAACAGCTGTTCTCGTTCTTCATGCCAGAGACGACCTTCGCGATCCGCAGCCAATTCCACTTCAATCTGGCGTTCACGAAACATCTCTGCCTGCTGGACAAAAGTTTCCATCTGTGTTGTAGACAAAGAAGGCACAAAGGATAGATAGCAACCATGCAAGTTAGAGTAAGTAACAAAAATTGGCGAGCTTATCAAAGAATAGCCCAAATACGATTTAGGCTTGAAGTTTATCGGACAGATGCACTTATCAGGTTGGCCTCGACCCTTGACGAGGAAATCGATGGGACAAGAAAGAAGCCAAATTGTAAGTCTTGTTGTGAGGCGCCAATACCTATTCTAGGTCATCTATTTAGCCAGTTGGTTGTCTACTTCATGGCTTACACAATAGGACATCAAAATTGGCCCAATAATAATACATAAAAATGAATGTACTAGGCTAGCATGGTTTTTTAATAGGATGAGAAATTATAAAAATAATGAAAAATTAAAGTACTCTGAAGAAAATCGGGCTTTAAAAGACTCCCTTAACGAGTTAGTGTGACTCGAATTTTCATTTCTAGAAACGATTATTGAATCGGCTTCACATCAAGCCGAAGTAAAATTCCTGGAAAGTGAAGACTCTAAGCATGTGAGAAGAAGCCATATGACGTTAATGAACACGTGCTGAGCTGTCATCTATCTCACCATGACAGACAAGATCAGAGCAAGAAAGCCTACCTTACGAAGAAGCGCACCGATACACGAAGCCAGGAGAAAAGCTGGCCAGCTATAACTCTATTCAATTCATATACCTAACTTTTGGTAGCTAATGAGGGCTTCTATGATATGCTTATTTAGTCCAAGCTCGCAGATGGGTGAAGTTAATGCATAAAAAGAAAAGGAATGTAGTATGATGGACAATTTGTATTGTATATTGTGTATATGGTCTAGAGAACAAGCATAAATAGTTCAAGTTAGATTTCATATATATTTGTTCGTTCTATATAGAAAGTTGGCTATATTGGGTATCTAGATAGACTACTAATCGTAAGACTAAATATTTATTTCATTGTATCCGTAAAATGGTATAATGTGTATTACTTTATAATGTCTGGAGTATTAGCCAGATGTTTATTGCTGAGGACGAATGTTGAGTTAGTACATACATGAAACAATTACTAGGATGATGGAATAAATACCAATGCGTATAAAAAAGATAAATAAAAAGAAAACTAAGCTTCCGTGATTTCAACAAATACAATTACATTTTAATTCAGATAACTTAAAAGCAATTTCACTATGTATAAAGTCAACTAATCTCCTCTCCTCTCATCTCATCTCGTCTCTTCTCATCCCATCTCATCTCATCTTATCTCATCTTATCTCATCTTATCTCATCTTATCTCATCTTATCTCATCTTATCT